GCTCGCAAACAGCGGCGTGCTTTTCTAGAGAAACTTCGCGCGCGGACACGCGCCGATCATTACCTCTCTGCGGGAACGCCGAAGATTTTTAACTCCTTCATTCTTCCACCTCTTGGTTCGCAAACGCCTGGAGTAACACTTGGAACAAAGAACCGCGTGAACATATTTATTAACAACTGCTGTTCTAGTTTTCTAGGAACAAATCGCGGACGAAAGTTAGAGAGAACCGGAGGGATAATCCGTATATTTATTATTTCAATAAATAATATATTTATTATTTATTGTGTCCTGGCTTGAACATTACGTTCCAGATAATTCTGTATGTTGTAAATATGGAGTATAAAAGTCGTTAAGTAGTTAAAAAAATATAAATAATTTTGTGGAAAATTAGCAACTAAAAGAATATATAATAAGAGAATTTTAATAGGTGCTAGTTTAGAGAATTAAAAAACTAGCAGCTACAAAATTATAATTCTGTAAGTTATATAAAACACTGCCGTGTCTCTAGACTTTCTTAGCTGCTAGCTTTAAAAAAAAAATACAATTTATAGAATTATATTTTTTAGCACTTTTAGTTTTCTAGTTCGTTAGAAGACTGACACACTAGTTTAGTTGTTAATAAAGAAGGCAAGTGTAAATCTTGCTTAACACTGTTCTATATCTGCAGCATGCCGAGCTGTCTGGATGTAACGCTCAAGCTGGGACATAAAATAATAAACAATATACGGACTATTCTAGATTTCTTCAAATTTTCATTCAATTTTCATTGAATTTTTAAATGTGGACGCTTGTGAAGTATAACAGATAAAATGATAATAAAACATGAATTTTACACATAAGAGGCATAGTAAATTTTAGATTTTTATATTCCTGTTTATTAATTTCAATTCTGAAAGAAAAGAGTGTTGCACAGACGATAGAGTTATTAAAATAGACTGATATTTATTATTATATCTTCTGTACCGAGTGTTACATTTCGTTGCCGACTATTGTGAGCGTGACCGACCGAAGAATCACATAATAAATTGTTGACACATCAAGATTAATGTCTCCATAACAAACTGCAATAAATATAAACGTTGCAATACACAATGGTACAAAGATCGCGTTTTACTAATCAATATTCATGTCATTCTCGGACGAAGAAATGATACATGACATTTTATCGTGAATTATTGTTTTAAAAAATAAATAAACTGTTCTTTGTAGTCATCCTCACTGAGAATGGGACAACAAAGGAAGTCGAAACATTCGAATATTTATATGCAGTGATTTTATAATTGTAAATTCTTAATCTTATAAGTATAATTACTTTAAAATTGTATCTTTTTGTGCCTTATGATCTGCGTTTGTACTCTCATTGGCCTATTTTTGTCCATTGTAAACTGTTCTTTCTTTCCCTCGTTATTTCTATGAAATCTTTTTCTCTACCTAATTTTTATAGTTTCTGTCTCTATTCTGGTATAAAAAGTTTACGCAAAAAGTTAATCTGAATTTAGGAAAATTTTAATTTTTATCCAATCAGCTTTTCTAGACCGAGGCTTTCGAAAAGCTCCGTAACAAGAGTTAAATTTATTCCGCGCGCCTTCATTCGCGACTGGCAATTAAGATTTTTATCAGCGAAACGAACTCCTAGGCGTAACAAAATTGGTGACACCGGCCCTTTCTCCTTCCCCTAGGAATAGTTTACGCGTCTTCTTTACAGCCTCGTAAAATCTACGTGGTGCGGGGTAATGCCAGAACAGAGAACGGCTTTGTCTCGGCAGCTCTCGAAAGCCACGCGGACGTAAACGTATCCGACGGAATCACAATGTGCGCGGTGCATTGAGTTTCTCGCACAGGCGGAAAATAGAGAAAGGAAGAAAATCTCGCTGACACATAAAAATTCTCGTCCCGCTTTATGTTTATGTTTTTGCCTCTTGTTTATTGTCCTGAGCGTGTCCAAACTATTTGTCGTGACGCAGCGTGTTTTATAGCAAGCGCAATTAATTAATCCTTCGATAATCTAAGATTAGATTCCTGGAATAGATTCTCGGTAAATTCTTTCAAATTAATATAACGATTGGAAGAGTTTAGGCTGGTTCAGAGAGAATTCAGGATATGATGATATACGTATGCCATACGTAAGAGCAGCGATTTTTTTTATTCTCGGATTCTCCGGCGCGGCAATACGACCTTCTATCCGGATGCATTGCTCAGATTTTCGGAAATGTCCGGTGGTGACCGGGATCAGAGAGACCGCAAGTCACAGCTGGTACACGCTCCCGCCCCGGATAGGTGAAGACGATTTAAGCGTTCGGACATGTGTAGAAACATGAAACTTGACACTTCCTACACAGCCCACCGGGCATCATGCCCGATCAATAAATATTAATGGTGTGATCTATGATATCGAGGTCCACTTGGGGTCTCCACTGCGAATCGACAAATCATGAACATCCGCCTTAGAAATGTCACAGGACATCCAAGGTAGTCCTGAAAGTAGTGGACTTGTTTTAGGTAAAGTTAACAAAAAACAAATTTTGTGGTTTCAAGAATAAATTAAATATATAAGCAAATTGCCTATAAGAGCTTTCGCGGTTGTTAGTGCGTAAATAATGTATTTATAAGACAATAAGATATAATTCGCAAATTGGAATGTATCACATCAAAGTTAACTGCAAACGTTTCGATTCTAAATTTGAGTCCTTTTCAGTACGGAAGTACAAGAAGTACAAACTACCAACACTTACGTGCGCATTGAAAAAGACTTCAGATTTGTATTTAACTTCATTGATAAGAGAGAGAGAGAGTACATTTCAATTGTGAATAATATCTTATTACTTTATAATATATATTATTTACGTATCAACAACTATTCTTCTAAGTAATTTACTTATATTTAATTAACAAATAAGCATTGCAATAGTTAAAAAAAAAATTCTAAACAATATTAATGATTTTTTAATATGATATCAATCTAATAAAGGTTTATATTAATTTATGATAATAATTAAATAAAAATTTAGCTCCCCATTTTGGTCATTCATTAAGCAGCTTAATAGTATTATAATAATTACAAATTTTAAATAATAATACCATTGTATGATTCATCTTTCGCCTTTCGAACTCAACGATTTAATTATTGCTGACGATACCCTGATCTCCAGTGTAATATATGATAATACTGGATACATACATGATATATGTAAATTGAGAATACGATTGGTGAAACACGAGTTGAAAGAAGACATGAAGAAGATATAATAACAATTTAAAGGACTCTACACCCATACTCAAGTAAGCGAAGTGCATTTGTAATTTGATAATCTCGCGAAGTCTACGAATCAGCATATCGTGTAATGACTCAGGCGTTGATATCTTAAGCACGGCGAAGATTGTTGTGTGTCATCTTAGCTTGCTTAGCTGACTTCAGTGAACAATGATGCGGAAAATTTTTCTAAAAATTACTATCGAATCTAAAAATTACTTCTAAAAATTACCATTATTATTTTTTTCAGTTTAATCATCTAAAATCGTATTTTCTTTTACGTTACATTCTGACGCAGAACATCTTAAACGGGAAAGTAATTTTGCTTTTTTGCTTTTGAAGTTATTAATTTTTTTAAGCTTCAACTGAAGTACTGTTGTCTCGATAAAGAAAAGAGATTTAAGAAATTCTGCAAATTAATTTTCTTACTTGAATAATTAGTAATTATAGTTTAAACTATAATTGGCATATAATGGTTCCTTTTTCGTTTTATTTTTTATTGAAGCTCTTGCCTACTCATTGCTATCTTAGATTGTAACATCAGAAACAAAAAAAAATATATTTAAAAATTGTTGCAAATCATATTAAAATATGAGAATTTTTAAGTAAAACATTTACAATTAATAGAATAAATTTATAAAATATACTGAAAATTTTCTTCTGACAATTAATAAAAAAACCATATATATTTTGAATTATAAATTGAATTATAACCAAAAAATGAAACAAGCTATATGATAGTATATAAAATAAATCTGCCTTTATTCTATTCTGAAATAAAAGGAGAGTATTCAGATTTTAGTGTTATTCTATCAAACGCAGATATTGTTTTGATGCCTTCGTGATCACCAAGGATCCATGAGACTCTTCAAAAAAGTTTGAGACTTCATATATTTTTAAAATATTCTTATATTAAATAAATACTGTTTCATACAATAATTAAAATATGTTCAGTAATTTTTGTGATTTTAAAGAACAAAAGCTGCAAATACGGCAATAAATTAAAAGTGTTAGGGTCATTTGTTTGTGTGATCAACATAAAATTCTCAGGAGGTGTGACCACGAAGAGATAAAAAATGTTTTTATTTTAATATTATTTTATATTTTCCAAAATTTCCCTTATATATTTTTCTCGTTTCTGACATTATTAACCTGAAGATCAGTGGTTAGAACTTTAATACTTTTTTGGTATTAACATCTCCGGTTCATTGCTTAATTGTATCTTGATCTCGATCTTGATCGCGCGTACAGTGCAATGACGCAGCGAGACATACGCGAGACGGTA